AAATTAAAGACGGCTAGCGCAGATAGCCCTTGTGTAGCTTTGCGCGAAATTCAAAACAAACAACCCATTGAGCCACTATGAAAGGGGGTTGACGAATACATGGAATTAATGTTGAGCAAGATAACATATTAAATCAGAAACAAAATTAGCTTTGCTTTAGTTATCTTGTATAATGATATGATTTTACTATAGGTATTTGTTATATCTTCTTGTTTAAAGCTTTTAGTTTTAAAAAAAATATATTTGTTGAAAAGATCATTGATTTGTTGTTGTTGTTGTTTTTTCTTGGTTTGAATTTCGCGCAAAGCTACACAAGGGCTATCTGCGCTAGCCGTCCCTAATTTAATAGTGTAAGACTAGAGCGAAGGCAGCTAGTCATCACCACCAACCATCCTCTTTTGGGCTACTTTTTTACCAATGAATAGTGGGGTTGACCGTCCCATTATAACGCCCCCGCGCTGAAAGGGCGAGCATATTTGGTGTGACGGGGATTCGAACCCGCGAAAAGATCACTGAACGTGACATTATATTTCATAAACTCTTCTTTTGTCAAATTATAATTAAGATAGAAGCTATAGTTAGTAATAGAAAATAATAATGTAGTGGGGTCCTCTAGCGGTAAGTATCTGGACTTATGTCGCTAAACACGGATTTTGATATCTGCTGTGAGCAGAGCACAAATCGACCATTGTTTAACTTTACGCTTAACAATTGACAATTAACAAATGCAATCTATTGAGTTTTATGAATGAACAGTTACATTTTTAAGTTGTTTTTTTTTTGTTGTTGTTTTATGAAAATAAGTAAAATTCACCAAAGCTAGTACCATAAAAATTCAAACATAAAATATTGCTGTTTAGAAATAGGAGGTAGTACAAAGCAGTAGTAATAAACAGAATCTCAGACAGATCGATCAGTATCATGGTGGTGACGTAAAGATGAAGCCTTGCTGAAACTAGAGACGGAGAAGTTCTTTTTTTCTGAATAGCTGGTATTATCGGTTCAGAAAGTATTATATTTCTTTGATACAAACAAATCTTTGGAAACGAACATTTTTTGATGTCACGTGGATGGAGGAAATCCATCTCAGATCATTATTCTCCATCCCCTCAAGCTTCAACCTTGGATTTGAGGTTAGTGAGTAATGACATGCGGAGACGAATATGTATCAAACTGTTTTCCAATTCAGACCAAAACACAAAGTATTATTTTTACAGTCATGTCGTGTATGGAATACACACCGACCTCTGTTGTTAAATCAGTGTTGATTCTTAACAATATATAACTAGTTGGCAAGTGAGATGATTCGGTTTATCCATTGTCGTATCATCTGATACTCTTGTAGATTGGAGTGTAATGGACAAACTTCCCGGTCAATATATCTTACTTGAAAGCACAAGAAGAAGAACAGACGTTATAAGTGAATCGCTTTTATGCACGTGAACTTCATAAAACGATGATTGAACATCACGTAACTTTGACCATTTTTTGATTGATGATTTAAACACTAAAGTGTTTTTTTTTATTCCTGGACTTCACTATCTAATTCCAGTCCAATAAGTCTGCTTATACTTCATCAATACAACGCGGATGTTCGCTTGTAGAGACAGCTGGCTATCAAGCCTATAATAACCACGTTTACTTGTACACATGGTTGGCTACCAAACCTATCTAACCCACGTTTACTTGTAAACATGGCTGGCTACCAAACCTATATAACCCACGTTTACTTGTAGACATGGCTGGCTACCAAACCTATATAACCCACGTTCCCTATCAGATATCACCTATTACCAGGTTGGACAAAATGGTGCAT